CCAAAAAAAAAAGCTTCTCTTAACATAATCATGCCATGAGAGGAGAGAGGTTTTTTTAGGGGGTGTGCTACAGGTGGGGATTGTCTCATTTGGCTGTGAGAGCGAGGTTTTTTTTGTTTTTCTTGGAGAGGTAAATCATGACCTGAGATTTTTTTTTTGGGGGGGGACATATTACCCCCCCCAAAAATAAGTTAAACTCACTCCTCCTTCACAGCCAAATGAGACAACCCTCACCCGTTGCTCCCCCCCCCCCCTCAAAAAAAAAAATATTGCTCCTCTCAGACCATGATCAACCCCTGCCAAAAAATAAATAAAACTCCCCCACCCCCCCCAAAAAAAAAACACACAGAGACTCACTCCTCCATCAGAGACAAATGAGACAATACTCACCCACTGCTCCCCCCCCCCAAAAAAAACTCCCTCCTGTCAGGCCATAATCACCATAATCATGGCCTGAGAGGAGAATGCTTTTTTTTTTGTGGGGCTGCAAGTGGGAATTGTCTCATTTGGCTGTGAAAGTGAGTCTTGTTTGGGTGGGTTTCTTTTGGGGGGATCATGACCTGAGGAGAAATGTTTTTGTTGGGTAATAGAGGAACAGCCGGTGAGGGTTGTCTCAATTGGCTGTGAGAGTGAGTCTTTTTTTTTGGGGGGGAGCTTTTTTTGGGAGGGGGCAATGGGTGAAGGTTGTCGCATTTGGCTGTGATGGTGGAGTGAGTCTCCGTTTTTTGGGGAATGATTACCCCCCCAAAACAATTACTGCTCCATCACAGCCAAAAGAGACAACTCCCACGCACTGCCCCCCCCCCCCAAAAAAAAAAGATTGTGCCTCTCAGGCCATGATTTACCCCCAAAACTGCCCCCCCCCCCCTAAAAAAAATCAATTCTTCATCACATCCAAATAAGACAACTCCCACCTGCTGCTCCACCTTCCCCCGCCCCCCTCTGAAACAATGCTACTTGCTCCTCTCAGGTCATGATTCCACCACCCCAAACCCCTCCCCCCCAAAAAAATTTACTCACTCTTACAGCTCCCCCCCCAAAAAAAAAAATACCTAAGCCGCCACTCCCAAAAAGTCATCAACTTACTCATCATGATGTCCCTGCAGCTCTCTCTCTGCTTGGTGGTCCAGATGTGTGTCCAGGGCCTGGTCCTCTGCCTTGCACGTCACATGCTTCTCCGAAACTGAGTCTAAGGTGGGCTGGCACCGTCACCCCTGGGCTGGCCATGCCCGCTCACAGTGACAACCAATCAGCATTGGAGAAATGGCCACTTGACTTCCTGTCTCTCACTGATTGGCAGTCCCAGGCAGGGGGAGGACATAGAGGAAGGGCAGAGGATCGCAGGGAGCAAGGGGGAAGAATCTAGTAGTTAACACACTGTAATAGATGGCCCGACCACCGTGGCGGTCCATGACAAAATAGACCTATCCGTGACAAAACTCATTTTTCGTGAGTCAGCCCGGAACAAGGACTGTCTGTAACAAATGTCAAAAATCTAAAATCTGTGAGTGTCCCGGGCATTTCAGGACTGTTGGCAACTATGCTGTACATCTAGCACTAAAGGCAATAGTTTGTTTGGACCAACTTGGTCCAAACAAACTGTTTAAACCTCACTAAAAGCTGGAGATCAGGTTTAAAAATTAATTCCAGGTATGGATATTTTATACAGCACATAATTGCATTTGTCCAGCTTGGACCAATGTAACTATGTATATACCATTCCTGAGTGATCCTCCTAGAAGCTGGAAATCACTGAAGAAGACACCGCTAGTCCTGTGATTTCCAAATGCTTCTGGGTCCCATGCCAAGAAGCTGCCTTGCTGCATTCTGGACATAATGCTCCATGCACACTGGGCATTTTAATAATGCTGGTAGCGTTAGCTGTGTAAATTCACGTTAAAAACACTAGTTTTTCAGTATTTTTTTTAGCATTTCGCATTAGCGTTTAGCCGCATTTTTCTGCATTTGTGGTTTTTACCAAAAAATCCAAAATTGCCAGCCGAACGGCACAAGTACCATTTATTTTCTGAATGAATGCAAAGCAATATCTGATTGGAAAATGTGGAAAGCATGACACCTCTCCACAGGACATTGCCACCCCAGACAATTGGTACAGGATCTGGAAGGAAGTGGAGATAACTGGGAGTAGTGGTGTCTACTTCAGTAGTTTCCATCTTTTGAGGCATGTTCCAAGTATGGTATATAAATAGTGACATTGGCCCAAGCTGCACTGATGTAACTATGTAGTGGGGTAGCACAGTGGCAAAATGTTTAGCACTTCCAACTGGCAGCACTAGGGTCATTGGTTCAAATCCCCACCACGGCACCACCTGCCTGGAGTTTTCATGCTCAGCCTGTGCCTGCGTGGGTTTCCTTTGGTTACCCCGGCCTCCCTCCACACTCCAAAGACATGCTGGTAGGTTAATTGGATCCTGTCTAAATTGGCCCTAGTATGTGTATGTATGAATGTGAGCTAGGGACCTAAGATTGTAACACCCCTTGAGGGTTAGGGACTGATGTGAATGTACAATTTATATGTAAAGTGCTGTAATAATTGATGGTGCTATATAAGTACCTGAAATAAATAAATAAATGTATAAAATACTGTATCTATACCTGGAATTCTTCTTTAAGTGAGTGCATTAAAATGGGCTGGCAAATTTCAGGTTCATGTAGACCTGTCAGAGAAATAATTTGTTTTGACTAGTTGATTTGAGTTGCGCACTGACAGAGAAGTTTCTTCAGTATTTTATTTTTAATATCTTCAAATGTATGCACAAAATCCTTCCTGTTTGAAACCCTTTTTATGATTCCTTCAATGCAAGTAGAATGTAGTGTTCCATAACAATTTCCACTAGGTGGCATCATTTGGCTATGGTAAAAATTAGAAGTTGCTGATTCATTTCTCTGTTTCGAAATATCCTACATGCATAACTTTCTGTTTCCTGACATGGAGGATCTTTCAGGGAAATGTTCTGTAAATATTTTGTGTACTTGGATACAGGCTAAACAGTTGAAGTTGTTATCTAAAAAAATTATTAAAATTAAGACAATTTGCCTAAAAAAATATTGATTTTGGAAAACAATTGAGAGGCAGCTAGTGCTGGTAAATTGGCATAAGCCAATCCACATTTTCATCACTACCTATTATTATCAAAAGATATATAAACAGATTAAAGAAGAAAATCTCCAGTTCTTATTTGGCAAGTCAGTTTACAAAATGAGTAGGTATGGTTTAAAAATCAAGTTATCTATATACAAAAATACATTCTTACCACTTGGAAAAGTTCTGCAATAAAGATTATTCCCAAAATGGCCACATATTAATATTCTTCAAGACATGCTTTTGTAAAATCTACTTTCTTCATCAGGTCAACATAGTACTGCTAGACATAAAAACAAAATTTGAAATTACTTTTAGATTGACATTAAAGTGGAACATCTTGACAATTAATGTTCTTTAAGAAAAGAACATGCATTCTGTTATAATAATTATGATACCAAAATTAGTGTATGCGGGAAATTGCCTTCAGCATTGTTCCTGTTTCTTCTTGCTGTAGGCCATTTTGTAGAAGCCAAGAGCAGTCATTTCCATACTGGAAACTTTTCCAATCACCTTGGTCTCAACAACTATATGTCACTTTCTGCAATTAATATGTGTGCATTTCCAACCTTGATTGTATGTCTTGGCTCAGCTAGAGGAGAAGGCTACCAGACGTTTTACAGCGCTGGAGAGAATATCTGGGAGAAAAGGTAAGATAACTATCCTTGCAAGTTTAACTCTTTTGTATGTCCCTAGCTGCAGAGTTTGTTCTTTCACCTACTTTTCCTTTTTCCCTCCCTTATCTGTGTTCCCTGGGTGCAGTCTGTGTCATTGATGTTTCCTCTCCTCTCTCTCTGCAGCAGTAAATATTGAGCCTGTCAGTAGATCGGCTTCTAGTGACTCAATTATTTTAGGCACAGTGCCAAGAAACCGGGACTACTGAGGATGTGCAAAGCAAGGTGAGACCGTATATTACTGGACTTTAAACAGTTTATGCACTTATTTTTAATGTTTTACATAGCTATACTTGAAAAAGAGGCCAACGTGAAGTGATCTATCAAGAGGTAATTTTCCAACTAAAGTTCCATTTGATATTTTAAAGTTTTTATCACTTATATGAGACTGTTACAGTTAAGAAAGTTGGTAAAAAATTTTGAAGACATAAAAATGCATACATTGTAGCTAGTCATGCAATACTGTACCCAAATAAATGTTATATAATGGTTTTAAGACAAATAGAGTTTTCTTTTGGTGATTTAATAATCACACTGGTTATATATTTTTTATAAAGAAAAAAAATGTTAAACATTAAAAAATGACCCATTTTTGGAAAGTGGATTTCCCAAGGTGATTACATTTTTTGCCACAATTTTTTGGAAATGCTGGTGTTGAGATGGTTAAAACATTGAGCTTGGTAATGGTGGCCTAGATACAGCGCATGTAGGTCATACACAGAAAGAGGAGGAGATGAAGGGGTTAATATAAAGTCCACATACAGTGTGAAAATGCAGATGTAGGGATTAATGTGCAGAGGTGAAAGATTAATATAAATATCACATAGAATGAGAGTGTGGAGATCAGATTGGTATTACAAGAGGGGGAGGTTAAAGTGTTAAACTTTAAAGTATATATTTCCCCCTACATTCTTTCAACTTGCTTCCTTTGCATGAAATTTCTGGTGAACCTGACAGTCCCTCTGCTTTCCTATATCAAACTGACCACACTAGGCATGACAGCACATCCATCTCAGTGTGGTCAGTTTCCTTCTTTGCATTCTAGTTGGGAGCACAGCCATTCACTGGGAAGATCAATGTACTGCTGTTTCTCTGCCTCTTGCTGCATATATACTGTATAAACACTATATTGCTAAAAGTATTGGGACACCCCTCCAAACCATTGAATTCAGGTGTTCCAATCACCTCCATGACCAAAGGTGTATAAAATCAAGGATCTAGGCATGCAGACTGCTTCTACAAACATTTGTGAAGGAATGGGTCGCTCTCAGGAGCTCAGTGAATTCAAGCGTGGTACCGTGATAGGTTGCCACCTGTGCAATAAGTCCATCCATAAAATTTCCTTGCTACTAAAATATTCCACAGTCAACTGTTAGTGGTATTATAACAAAGTGGAAGCAACTAGAAACAACAGAAACTCAACCACGAAGTGGTAGGCCCTGTAAAATGACAAAGTGGGGTCAGCACATGTTGAAGGGCACAATGCGCAGAAGCTGCCAACTGTCTGCAGAATCAATAGCTAAAGACCTCCAAACTTCCTGTGGCCTTCAGATTAGCACAACAGTGCGTAGAGAGCTTCATGGAATGGTTTTTACATGGCTGAGCAGCTGCATCCAAGCCTTACATCAAGTGCAATGTAAAGCATCTCTAGAGCAGTGCAAACATGTTTTCTGGAGTGGCCAATCATGCTTCTCTGTCTGCCAATCCAATGGACGTGTTTGGGTTTGGTGGTTACCAGGAGAAAGGTGCTTGCCTGACTGCATTGAGCTAAGTGTAAAGTTTGGTGGAGGGGGGATTATGGTGCGTGGTCTTTTCAGGGGTTGGGCTTGGCACCTTAGTTCCAGTGAAGGGAACTCTTAAGGCATCAGCATACCAAGACATTTTGGACAATTTCATGCTCCCAAATTTGTGGGGACAGTTTGGGGATGGCCCCTTCCTGTTCCATCATGACTGCGTACCAGTGCACAAAGCAAAGTCCATAAAGTCATGGATGACCGAGTTTGGGGTGGAGGAACTTGACTGGCATGCACAGAGTCCTGACCTCAACCCGATAGAACACCTTTGGGATTAATTAGAGCAGAGACTGCGAGCCAGGTCTTCTCGTTCGATGTTAGTGCCTGACCTCACAAATGCCCTCATGAAAGAATGTTCAAACATCCCCATAGACACACTCCTAAACATTGTGGACAGCCTTCCCAGAAGAGTTGAAGCTGTAAAGGGTGGGCCAACTCAATATTGAACCCTACAGACTAAGACTGGGATGCCATCAAAGTTCATGTGCGTGCAATGGCAGGCTTCCCAATACTTTTGGGAAATATAGTACAGTATATATATATACTATATATATATATATATATATATATATATATACATATATACACAGTATATACACTGCTCAAAAAAATTAAAGGAACACTTTTTTATCAGAGTATATCATCAAGTCAACTAAACTCCTGGGATATTGATAAGGTCAGTTAAGTAGTAGAGGGGGTTGTTATTCAGTTTCAGCTGGTTTGGTGTTAATGAAATTAACAACAGCTGCACCGGATGGGCAACAATGAGACAACCCCCAAAACAGGAATGGTTTTACAGGTGGAGGCCACTGACACTTTTTTCCTTACTTATCTTTTCTGACTGTCTTTCACTAGTTTTTGCTAGGGTCAGTGTCACTACTGGTAGCATGAGGCGATACCTGGACCTTACCGAGGTTGCCCAGGCAGTCCAACTCCTCTGGGATGGAACATCAATACATGCCATTACCAGGAGGTTTTCTGTGTCTCCAGCACAGTCTCAAGAGCATGGAGGAGATTCCAGGAGACAGGCAATTACTCTAGGAGAGATAAACAGGGCCGTAGAATGTCCTTAACCCATCAGCAGGACCAGCATCTGCTCCTTTGTGCAAGGAGGAACAGGATGAGCACTGCCAGAGCCCTACAAAATTACCACCAGCAGGCCACTGGTGTGAATGTCTCTGACCAAACAATCAAAAACAGACTTCATGAGGGTGGCCTAGAGGCCCAACGTCCTCTAGTGGGCCCTGTGTTCACTCCTGGCTCCATAGAGCTCGATTGGCATTTGCCATTGAACCCCAGAATTGGCAGGTCCACCACTGGCGCCCTGTGTTTTTCACAGATGAGAGCAGGTTCACCCTGAGCACGTGTGACAGATGTGAAAGGGTCTGGAGAAGCCATGGAGAACATTATGCTGCCTGTAACATAGTTCAACATGACCATTTTGGTGGTGGGTCAGTGATGGTTTGGGGAGGTATATTCGTGGAGGGACACGCAGACCTCTACAGGCTAAACAATGGCACTGCCATTAGGTATCGAGATGAAATCTGTGGACCCATTGTCAGACCCTAACCTGGTGCAGTGGGTCCTGGGTTCCTCCTGATGCACGACAATGCCTGCCCTCATGTGGTGAGAGTATGCAGGCAGCTCCTGGAGGATGAGAATTGATACCATTGAATGATCCCCATGCGCACCTGACCGAAATCCAATAGAACACCTCTGGGATATCATGTGTTGGTCCATCCGACGCCACCAGGTTGCACCTCAGACTGTCCAAGAGCTCAATGATGCCCTGGACCAGATCTGGGAGGGAATATCCCAGGACACCATCTGTCATCTCATTAGGAGCATGCCCCGATGTTATCATTAATGCATACAAGCTCATAGGGGCCATACAAACTATAGAGTACCATTCTGAGTGGCTGCAATGAATTTCAGCAAAATGGACTGGCCTGCTGCATGATTTTTTCACTTTGATTTTTGGGGTGTCTTTGAATTCAGTCCTCTGTAGGTTGATAATTTTCCTTTCCATCAAACGATGGGGTATCCTTACATTCCTAACACATTTCCCAGTCCATAGCAGTATAGATATCCAGCATAATATTTTTCCCCATTGAGATCTGATGTGATATTCAAAGTGTTCCTTTAATTGTTTTGAGCAGTTGGTCACCCACACATATGTAAACAACGATTGTATCACATGAACCTCATTGATCTTGAGTATCTCTTTATTCAGTGTAACATCATCTTTTATATTTTTCAAAAAAAGTGGGTATTGTGTTGTGTTTTTGTGCACTAAAACTCATTAATGTGGGGGTTTTTTTCCTTGAAAATGTGCGTTTGATAAACTGCTGCGCAACTATTGTGCAACATAAAAATTGCAACAACAACCATTTTATTATTATTTAAAAATATATAATATTTCCCCCAAATATTATATATTTTTAAATAATAATAAAATGGTTGTTGTTGCAATTTTAAGTAATTTAGCAAAAATGACTTCTAAGAAATGTCAGAAATGGCCTGGGGGTCAAGTGGCTTGTTAGCTTTACCATTAATCAGACACAGGTAACGTATGTCACAATTGTATTGTCTTGTCCCCTGGTGTGACCATATGTATGTTACACCTTGTACCCCTTTATGTATGCCCTCAAGTAAATTCAGACCAGACCAAAATAAGTTAACTAGCTAGCTAGTGCCTCCTGGTGCCCCTGCCCATTCAGCTAGTCATACCTTTGAATTGTACAGAAAGAGTCCTTTAACCACTTCATGTCCGGACACTTTTACCCCCTTCCTGTCCAGGCCAATTTTCAGCTTTCAGCGCTGTCACACTTTGAATGACAATTGCGCGGTCATGCAACACTGTACCCATATGAATTTTTTTGCGTTTTTTTGAGACAGATAAAACTTTATTTTGCTGGTATTTATTCACCACTGGGATTTTTTTTTTTTTTTTTTGCTATATAAATGAAAAAGTCCAAACATTTTGAAAAAAAGTGTTTTTCTTATACAATTTTGCAAATAAATAATCTATCTTCATAAATCTTGGCCAAAATGTATTCAGTTATCTTTTTAGTAAAAAAAATAACCCAAATTAGTTTATAACCAAAATATATAATTTTTCAAAAACATTTGTTTACATTTTTTTACATTTTTTATATTATTATTTATGTTTGTTTTTTTGGGGTTTTTTTTTTTTTGCATACTGTCACCTTAGCAGTACAGTGTCACCATGGTGACACTGTACTACTTGTGGGGGGTGATGAAGATTTTTTTTTCCTTTTTTACACTGATTGCTTTTACACCCATAAAGGCTGTAAAAGCAATAATTTCTCCTTCTCTCTGGCTGCTTTCTTGCAGCCATTGAGAAATACTGTGTGAGTTGTGATTGGTCACAGCTTGTCACATGGTTCAAGGCTGTTGTGAATAGCCTTGTACCATGCGACCTCTGTGATCATTCACAGATTTCACTAGTAGTAAGCAATAATCTCAGGAAGTGACATCTTGCTTTCTACTATTCATGTGATCACTGATTGGCCAATCAGTGATCACATGATCAGGACCTCACACAGAGGTCCCATACAGCGATTGCTGTTCCTGCAGACACAGCTCTCCCAGGGAGCGCTTACAGGCAGTAAATACGGGGGTCGTTTATAAATGGCCACCCGCTCCGGCACTGCTTTCTTCCGGCTGTTTATGTACATGGGCTGGATGGGAAATGGTTAAAGGAGAAGTACAACCAAAACTCATTTGGCTGTACTTCTCCTGTGGATCACAGGAATGCAGTTAGTTCTGTACTTCTGTGACAGTGGGCTGAAGCCCTCTGTCGGCTGACATCACTCAGCCGGTCCAGGCTGGGGAAAGATCCCAACTTCAAAGAGGAGATCCACCTCAGAGTCTGAAGTGGCACCTGGCTCAGCCTCTTAGTGAGCCACTGAGAGCCTGAGCCAACTACTCCCTCCCCCTCCACAGCCCAGCGTTTCAGTGAGTGCTGGTGGGGAAAAGCAGAGAGCGGTGACTGACAGTCACCGCTCTCTGCTCAGAGTGGCTGTGAGAAGTGAGGTCATGTGATTGCTGAGTTGTCACTCTTAGAGCCGGAGGGGGACAGATGCAGTAACGGACCAATAGGCATCCACCTAGGTAAGTATGAATGGGGAACAAAAAAGTCTAGACTTCTCTTTTAATGATTTACGTGACTTTTTAAAAATCTTTTTAACAATGCTAACTAAGTTTTATTTCTTTTAATCACATTTGATGGGGATAAGCAGCTTCTATTTTAGTCCATCACTGAAGCCTGGTTCATTTTAGAAATTGTTATTTTTAATGAGGCAGCCTCTTCATTTTCAACATGTGATTCATTTGAATTGTTCAGGATTGTAACAGGTTTACTTTCCCATTCACATTACTGCAGTAATTAACCACACACAAATTAAAACAGCCCATTCATTTTTAATAGGCACTCAACCCACCGCATTGCCCTTTAAAACACACCTGCACCATGTACATGTGTTAAGAGCTACTTTTTATGTGTGTTGGTATGCCATTTATATCATGGCACTAACTTCATTTCATGAGGGCTCATTTACATGGGTGCAGACAGTCATACACCATTATCAATGAATGATAGATGTTTGCATACTGCCTGTACAAATCACTGACTTTAGCTGTATGCTTGTAATAGCACATCCAAGTGTTTACTTGGGTACAAGCATGGATAAGCTGCCCACAGACAGTATGTGCCCAGGGGCACATCATATCCATCCCCTGTATTGAAGTAAACACCTGAGTGCAGTCATACTGAACCTCCTTGAACTCATGGGCACAGGTACAGCTTTCTGTGCTCGTGTGAATGAGTTATTTATCTGTCAAACAATTATCTCTCTGTATGTAGAACAGATTCACAAGTTACCACCAAACATTTTGGTCTGGCAAAAGCTGTAGTATGATAGGTAACTATATATTAAAGAATTCCTGGGGGAAAAAATCTGCATGCAGAAGGGCTGGGCCAATACTGCATGGGTTAACTGCTTGTTTTTGTCTAGGAGTGAGGAAAGCGGAGATATACTTACCTAATCAGCTAGTCTCTGCTGCTCCTGCCCCCGCATGC